TCTTGGCAAAACGAAATCACACGGTCAGGGAACTTTCACGCAAAAGAGCGATGGTAATCTTACTTGTGAGGCATGTATGGCCACCTTGTTGAAAATAATCGTCGTCCACGTCAATATCGTCCAATTCCAGCTATAAAAAATTATTAATCATTTTTTGATAGCGTAATTCGTTCACCGTCACAAGTTCTACGGCCTCGTTTTAGTAAGGTCGAAGTAGTTAGGTCCAAAAGCCCCGCCAGAACAATTTAATAAAGTGGGCCCCGGCTACCTTACTCACCAGACGAAACGCAGAAGTATATATAGTATAAACGCAGAAGTATGTATACACACATGCACACACGCAAACACACTCGCGCGGACACACACACACACACATACACACATGTTTTTTTCTATCTTCTTACTGTCTTACTAGTTCTTACTTATCTTCTTACTACTGGGTAATAATACTTTAGAAACCATTCCATTGTATCGTCACGTTATGTTTTGTGAGGAGAAATAAAGTACATTATTGTTTTATGCAAAATACAATGTGATATCGTTTTTCGAATGCCAGCAATATTCTCATTTGTTCTTGAGCGACTTGCACGAGTTCGCTTGCTCACATCACTAACTTCGCATAACAGCACAAAATTTTCCACCAGTTTTACAATTAGTGGTTGAGAAGGTGCTTTACGACGATCCAAATATTCTTTAGCTTTTTCAGCCCGCAAACTATCCTGTTGAAGCGTACATCATTCCACGTACATCATTTCTCCCGCTGAGTTTCTTTCGCCGGTTCTTCTCAGTACAGTGGCTTTGTTTTCCGAACCGGTGGTAGTGTTTTGACTATCAATAAGTGAGTGTAATGCTCCTATGTTGAATAAATACATTTGATTTTGATTTTTGATTTGATTGTATTTCACTGTTAAAATAAAAGCGAAAAAAATTGAGTAATGTTCGTGAAAAACCGGCCTCCTCTGTTCGTTAAGATTTTGAAAACATACTATTTACGTCTCACGCTTGCCCATCTAAGAAACAGGATTTCTCCTGTTTTGATTTCTGTCTGCTTCTACCACGGTAACAACATTCATTGCCATGTTTAAAAAAATCTTATTGACAAGCATTATTGGCAATTCAAAACTTTATAATGTCTTTTAGATCTGTTGACGAAACCAGACCCTTATAACTTACCATAGTGGTTCTTTATGCCCAGCGGGAATAAGTGTTATTCGCCCTTGATCCCGTATAAAATATTCCATCAAAGTATAAGCGACAACAAGCAACTAAAACGACTATCTAGACAGAGCTGATTATGCTAAAAGTAAACTTCAATTCAAATGTATCTGTAAAGACCTTTTCTCGTATAAAATATTAACTATTAATAACTGTTTCACATATGAAACTGCATTACATATCTTCTTTATGCTCATACTTTACAGTATTATGTATCAGTACTGTAATTTGATGTTCTTTGTTCGTTTGACATTCTGTACTATAGGTGTTATTCGTTCTCGTTTTCCTAAAAATCGGATTGAACAATTATTGTTCTATTTTATGAAAACCACACCTTTAATCATATATCGAATTTACGACGAGCACACTGAAGTCTGTTAGCAATTTAACTTACATTTATCTTTATAAGATTTATACCCGGTTTAAAATTACATTCATAGAGCACACACACGTTAGACGAAACGGTATGTACGTCATCCATTTTCAAAAAGTTCGTGTAGGTAATTGAAATATCGATACGCGCATGCATTGGTTTGGCATTGATGTGAATTATATATTGAGTGTTCTTCCATTTCAGAATTGAACTGGCATCAGTGAGAGCGCTTTGTCAAATTGGCAATACAATTACACGTGATGCAGGTGCATATTATGTATCTTAGCGGGAATTTGACGATCTAAATGTAATAGTTATTCTGAACTTTTCGTTAGACTTATTCAGTCCCGAATTCAACAAGTAATAGGTAAAATAGGTTGAATAGGTAAAAACGTAAGACAGCGACACGAATGCCCGAAAATGAATCCATGCGGGCGGGCAACCGAGATGCGAACTTGTCACCTAAACAAATTGAGTCTATGGGCGTTGCTTAAGTGTATTTTACTATAGCCGCTAATACCGTGGACACGCTCAACGAAGACTCCAAACCTAAAACTTTCACTGGATGGAGTTATAATTACTTTAAACTAAACAAAAGTCACTAATCACGCGGACACTACTAGCTATGACTCCAAACCTCAAACTTTCACTGGATACTAAGCTTTTAATTACTTTAAATTACTTCTAAATTGCTTAAAAACTAGTTAGTTACTGTGTGGTGTTTTATTTTACTTTTACTTTTGTTTTTTTGTTTCCGTATATTATGGCGTTTTGAAAAAATCAAGGTAAATAACGGCTGACAGGTAATTTCTGTCACCGCATAGTATATGAACATATGTGTACGGCCAGATGAGATTTAACAGGCACTTAACTTCGATCTAAGTATTGGCCACGCTGAATATTGAGCGTAAATTCCCAATTTAAGTCGCTGTGACCCCGTTTCGCCAAACATTTGACAAGAAGCGTTCGAGGTATAAATTATTTACAGACCACTATTTTCTTTTATTCATAACACGATTCAGCGTTGCATGATCGAAATTACTCCTTATGAAAGGTAATTTGTATAAGTACACTTAAGCTCAATGTTGAAAGATAATAAATAATCAGATTATAAAAGTCTGGACAGTACTATAAACAATAGCTGCTTGCATGAGGCGTCATAAAATATCCCGTTGAAAGTTTGCGAAGCGAATTCACGTGCTCACAAAATCAAAATCAAAAATCAAAATCATTTATTCATCGACATAAGATACTTACATTTCATTTATCGATAGTCATATTTTTTTTAAAACTACCACCGTTTCGTAATGAGGTTCCTCTAGCGGAGAAGAAACAGGCGAAAGAAACTCCGTACTCTCACTGTAACTCACGTTTTACGTGGCACGGTGGCGCAGTTTCTAAGCACCTCTCCTAACTCCAGCGCCTGGGGTCGTGGGTTCGATTCGCACACAGGACGAGTATTTGTGTGACCCACACGTATAAGATCCGAATCTGGGTGTTTGTTCCCATTTTGTTCCTACCCACCTAGTGGATATAAGGGCAGGAGGATGATGATGAATAATTCTATTACGTTTCCAAAATGGTACGCCGCGTGGTGCTAAGTGCACAAAGTCACAAGTGGCAGACTGTAAATTTTAAAAAGAGGCACTTCTACTCATGTTGGGTTTTAGTTAGCTATTAAAAAGAAAGTAAATGTACTAATATATAAAGTAAATCTAAGTGACAATCAGACAGTAAATTGGGGACAGATAAGCCGTGTACGCAACAGTCTTCACTGTTGCACGATCTCACACAAGACCAGAAGTTAAGTGGAAGTTTCAAACTTCTGCGTTTCGTCTGGCGAGTGTTGCAACCGGGGGCCACTTTATTATAAGGTGGCAACGCATCTGCAACCCCAAGGGAGTTGCAAATGGCCCCGGGCGGCGGTCATCACTCACCGTCAGGCGCACCGCCAGCTCTTCTTCCATAGAAAAATACAGATGATTTCCGTGCGCAGTTTTACCCGTTGATTCCTGTGCAACGAACGATCGAGGCGCGGCGGCGCTTTAGCGCGCGACTGTACATTAGTTAGGTAGCTAGAGCAACACGTAGTGCGGCGGATCCAGTCGGACCAGAGCCGCTTCGAGCAGTCGACCGCAGACGCGCACCGCGGCGCCCGCCTTCAGCGCTCCCTCGCTAACCGAACGTACCTAATAACAACGCGACACGCTATGCCGTAAAAGGTTTTAATTTTGAAATGGAATTTATCCGCTGCACACACACGATAGGTTCCATCCGATGGATTGAATCGATACAGGGTTTTTGTTTTTTCTTAGATGAAACGTGGCGATTTCGACTTTAGTAGTGGGTATTTTCGTTCGGGTGCAGTTTTTCCCCTCGGATCGTTTGTTGCTCGTCCACTTTGTACCGATGGTTTTCTTTCCTACGTGCTGGCAATATACGCATTATAGGTCTAGTAGTACTATAACTTGCGACTGCACACAATAATTTGCTCTAACGATTCCGACCTTACCTCGAGTTAGGGACTATTAGCAGCAAAATTGTCAGGCCGTTTGAAACTTTATTTGTAAGCGCAACATTTAACATCATGGAAAGCCGAAACAATAGTATTGTGTGGTCTTCTTTCATCAAATTTAATCTGAAAAAAGTCAAAAGGGATGATGTTCATGTAGTCTAATGATTATTTTACGCTTTTGAGAAATATGGGTTTATTAAGAATAATTCTTTTGTAATAAAATAAATATTGAGGTGGAAATAAACATGTTTGAATAATAAAATTAAAATCAAAGAGGTTCTTATAAAACGAAGCGTTTCCCCTAAAATCATTGTTAGAAAAAAATACTTGGTTAGGTCTTACCAACCATGATTTTAAAAGTCGTTAAATATTAAATCCCAAGTCTGGTTATTGTATTAATTACGAAAATGATATGCTATTTTCACAAAGATTTTTTTTTACTTTTGAACTCTGAAACAAAAATTATAAATCTTTCCGAGTAAATAGAAGTAGTAGAAAAAATTAAGAATAATATTAGATTTAAAACCAAAATATTGTTCATTAATTAAAGCGAGAACAAAGGCGAGCGATACAAAACGATTCGAGTGCGAAAGTTTAATTGGCGGCCATTAGGAGCATTGTGATTGAAATTAAACCTAACACCAACGGGCATTTGCAAAGAGAAAAGATAAAATTATCATTCGCATAACGCCCCGTGCGGTTTTGCAGCTAGACGTTTAATTGCAGTCAGACAAATTAGATTTTGGACGTGCAACAAGCGGCCACTTGGGAGAGCATTCTGATCGGTTGACCGGGGCTCAGAGGCATCGTCCGCACGCGACCTCCCGTTCAAAGCCGGGTCCGAAACTCATCGGCGGAGTGTAGACGATCTCATTGCGGAGCCGAGCAGGAGAAAGAATGGCGGCCGTGAGCAGATACAGCTCCTACAATTGCTTGACTGGATGGGACAGTTACGACAAGATACCGAGGTAATTACACGTAGAAGGGACCACTAAGAATTCCTGTTATAATACCGTCAGTATCACACACGATGCCTATTGTTTTGATCTCAAATTTTCCAATCGACAGTTCGAATACTGTAACATTGAAAGCAGTTTCAATGTTTCACGCCACTCTCCTCGAGCCACGGCTACAATTGGAAAAACATTAACAATGTTTTTAATGTGAACTGTTAATAAAATGTGATCAAAATAAACTGCTAGTAATGATTTAGGGATTTCGTATCATTTTACTTGAGTTACTGTCCCAATGTTTCCAATAGTTTATAGCTTCTCTAGTTTGAAAGAGATATTTCACGTCCTAATGATGACATTGAGCGTGAAATATAAATAATTAAAGAGCCGTCGGGTAAACGTGGGTTTTCTAGTCTATTTAATTATTTACATTAGGTCAGATGTATGTGGGAGGTACATTATTATTAATTATTTTGAAGTATTACAGAGTTAGTGTCATTGGATTAATTTGTATTAAAAAAAACCGGCCAAGTACGAGTCGGGCTCGCGCAAGAAGGGTTCCGTACAATTATCTTATAAAAACAGCAAAAAAAATCATGTCTGTTGCACTTAAATATTTTTTAAACTCTATTTTTCAGTTATTGCTGTTATAGCGGCAAAAGTAATACACCAAAATTTCAATTGTATAACTGTCACGGTTCATGAGATACAGCCTGATAAAAGACGGACAGACAGACAGACATTGGAGGCTTAGTAACAGGAGGCCGTTTTACCCTTTGGGTACGGAACCCTAACTATGGTAGGGCCACGCATCAGTTGCCAAAAGAAGAAGGATGGCCCGGGACGTGAAGTGGAAGAATTACACTTTCGCGTTTCCTCTGGTGAGTAAGACGGTTTTTTAAGGGTTTGCAACGCACGTTTGGGGAGCAATCTGGTGTTGGTTGTGACTGTGGACGCTGGTAAAAACTTAACATTAAGTGAATAGCCTGCTCGCTTGCTAACTTTTATGTTTATTTGTTTATTTCTCATTGCTGACACCTTAAACTAGGGGCAATCCGGCCTTGTCGGGGTGGAGGGGCTTCGTGGTGGTGCCTTTGTCACCCACGGTGAAGCCAAGAGAAACCCACGCTGGGCTGGCCTTGTAAGGACGGCTTGAGAGGACCTCTTCGAATGGTCTCAATGAGCCCACTCTGAATGCGTGCTGGAAAGGGACAGATTGAGTTTTGTAGTGTTTGAGCCACTCTTCCTGTCTTCTGCCGCCGAAGTGGGGTCGAGGAAGATTGTCGGTATTGCGTGGGGCCGCTCCTCCTTACCTCTCCAACTCGACCATTACTGCACCGCTGATGCAGTGAAGATCGGGAATAGGGGGAGAGGAGTTTCGGTATTTCGTTGATAAAAAAGAAGGGGCCACAAAGAGAGGTCTAAACGCCTAGAGGCATTATCTACCTGTCAACCCTTCATCGCGTTGAAAAGTACGTAGATACACTTGTTAGCATAGTTCATTCAAAATCAATTCTTGCGCAGAGCTACGGGAGCACCCTGGTTCATGCGCAATATCGACCAACATGTCTATTTAGAGTTGTCCATCATCGCTCAATTCATATATTATACTTCGAATCCGCCGCCGCGCATCCCAGCCACCTACAGACCCATGCCGTTAGGTAAGTTCCACCGCAATCACCGTAGACCGCGACACGTTCTCGACTTCCCTGATGATGAGACGACTATTGCTATCGAAAGGATCAAATAACTACGCAAATACACCAATACACACCGCACTCGCCGGCGAGTGCGGCAAAAATATGCTAGGTTCCGCCACGTACCTGGCAGGTTCTCCCCAATTAATGATAGAAGCGTTGCTGGAGTTTATTCCGCCACTTCGTCTCCCAGCGGCAACGCTTTAGGAAGTGGTAGTAACGATAGTTCTAGAAATTCCCCCAGCCAGATAACAGCTACCGATCGAGCCGAGGTCCGCCCTCTCGGGCACCCTCGAATCGGAATGCTAACCGCGTTTTGAGTGACAGCCCAAGCCGAGGTCCCGTCTCGGGGACCCTTGAGCCTAGTCACTCCATGGAGCGCCCACCAAAGCGCCCTAAGAGCTTGGCAACCTCCCAAATCGGTGAAACTAAAAGCGTGACGGCCCGAGCCGAGGCTCCCTCGGGAGCCCTCGAGCTTAGTCACCATAACGCGTAATAATAATACGCCGAGGTTCAGGCTAGGCGCCCCGAGCGCCCGGCCACCTCAAGCCCGTCGGATCTGTAAAGGCCCCTAAGGCCAATAGTGGCTCATCCAGCAAAAAAAATGCTAATCAAAAACTTATCACATAAAAACTAGTTTCTACTGGCGGTGGTAGCACAAGAAATCATTAACAATGCAATAAAGTTGCAATGATCCATTTTAGGCGGTGTCATAAAACCACTTCCTGCATATACATATGGTAGATGTTATAGTTACCCTTGTATGAAAAAAAATATAACAGAATTTTTCCCTTTTCACTGGCCATTATAACAGCAATCTCACATGATTTTAGGGTTCGGCATTATTTGTAATTAATTGGATATGAAGCCCGGGCTCTGTGAAGAGCAACAACAACTCCGCTTTAGGGACCTTATGTCTGCTGTTTCATTTTGTATCCCGCAACGGATCCAATTAATTTTGTTCAAGCAAGATGGATAGTTGTCTTGTTCTCTAAAAACAGCAGCACGCCCTATTCTAAACGCCACTGAGGTTTATTTGCTTCTCTCCGAGAAAACAACGGACGGTATATTTGTTCTATATAACTGTGTAGGATTTATCATAACATTAATTTACTGTAACAACAGCTGGTTCACGATCACTAGTATAAAGTTCAATAATAGATACGTAATATACTCTTATGATCGAGTCAATGTAACAGGAGAGAATTTGAAGAATATCATTTCGTCATATTTTAACACATATATAACTATTTCAATACCAAAATTAGCCGAATCGGTCTGGCCGTTCTCGAGTTTAGCCAGACTTACGAACAGCAATCCATTTTATATACAGCGTGTCGTTACCATCGTGACAATAAATGAACACACGTCTAACGCTACGTGCCAATAATCATAAAAAAATATTAACGTTAAACAATATCCATAATTAAAAAAAATATTTTTCAAACAAACTATTAAGTAAAAAAGAAACAAAATTTGTAACATCCTATACAACTCGCGCCACAGCGTCTTATTACAAGCCTCTTTTTCTAACAGTATGTTTTGTCTCTTTTAAATTCATTCAACCCATTCATATGCTTTGTGACCTTTACAAATGAACTTTACGTTACGGTTTTATAGGTGAGGGTGTTCTAAAATTCTTTGTTTTGGAAAATTTAATAACTCTGTAAATATTGATGTTTAAAGAATTTAAATGTTTAATACAACTTTGAAAAGTTATCCCCTATACGTGTGTTCATTTATTGTCGCGATGGTAACGATACGCTGTATAAGAGATATTCATACTGTTTACACAAACGTCTCATTAAACCAAGTATTTCTGTATATGATAATTTTTAAATCTACCGAACGACGTGTTTTGTCATATGAACTTTCAATGAAAAATTTTAAGATTAACTGATTTTTTTTTTTCACTTGAAAGCGACTTTTTCACAAACTCTTCTTTACTAGAACCGAGTTGGGAGCACCCGTCCATTTTCTGAGGCTTGCTAAAAGGGTAATTTCCGCTTGAACAAATATTGAGTACATTTCTGTAAGTATTGAACGCAATAAATTTGTATCTGGAACCGTTATATACTGTAACACGAGGCTATTTTAATATATCGCTCAGCAATTCCGTTCTCTTATCCACACGTACTTGCAATATACAGAAATTTTATCAGCCTCATTTGAAAGTAACCGTCAGTAAGAAAAACTGTCATCTTTGTGGTGGAATTCCTTTTACCATTTATCGTCTCCTGGCTCAATTTAAAACGCTACCTCAAGGTGTGCAATCAAATCATTCGATTGAATGGCTCTTGATTTTATTTCACCAAATTCAACGCTTATGATATGTTGAGGAGTAAAAGCGTCAACATACCGAAATATCTTTAGCTATCCTGTCGCAACATGGCTGAAGCACTTTGTTTCAATTTTCTACATTGCCCTGGGACACAACAAAAATAATATTCTGTCACTGGAAAAAAATCTAGGCAATGTTTTTAAATGTGACGCAATTTTTTTATTGTTGAAACGTAACATAAAAGATGGAATACAACGAAAATAACTGTGATACAATTTTTTGACTATGTGGTCATCGGTTTCAACCCATGAGAGTAATAAAATCGCATTTCTGTTTGACAGTTTCAACCTTGGAAGAGAAGATTTAATTAAGTTCAGATATCTAGTGCAGTGTGCAAAGGCTATGAAATACTAACATAGAATGTCCATACGTCTGTGTTCAGAACAATGACTAATATATTCACAATATATGTCAGATTCAGAGGCTGAAACATATATTAAAAGACAATCTTTATTGATCTAATATTTACAAGATTAAATCTATCTAGAATTACATATTATCTAATAAACCTAATCCACGCGGCATGGTGCCAAGAACGCTAGCTGCATTTCCTCGCTGAATAGTTATGCTTAACCTTTGAGCGAGAAAAGAACCAGCTCTCTTGTCACCAGCCGCGGCGTTAAGCCTAGGACATAAACTTTTAAAAAATTTGATGTGCGGGGACCCCACGGACCTAATGTTTCAACAGCAAATGGCACAAATACATAATCTGAACATAAAGACTCATATTTGCGCCATTTACTTACTTCAGCCGCCTCCGATGCCGCCCCGGCCCTGACCGAAGTACCCCTTAGATGAGAGGCAGCCAAAGTGTCTACACAAGTGGCGTCCCAAGCAAGGGCTTTGCCTCTCTCCCAAGGGATCAATGTTAAACCGTCGGGTCTCTTACCATCGTCGCGTAAAATGCCACAGGGCTCTAAAATAGATGGAACATTGATGGAAACAAGAGCCCTACGGATGATGTCGTTCAGGGAACC